GTTATATATAGCTACATATGCAGTCAATATTGAAAATTCGTTTAATTGTGGATTTACTTTTACCTTACAGCCATTTTGTTATATTACGCGTGTTCAGCTGATCCGTAAACTGTTTCGGTAATGTTTGGCACCAGTAGGTGAGTACTTCATTTATTTCAAACAAACAAGGGTTTAAGTTTCAAGGCTCAGTTTATTCAATCATGTACAAAAATACATGAAATGTGTTTTTCTTGGTAAGTAAACATAAAATATAAACGCATTCCATCCAGAAAATATATATCATTCATTAAGTCTTATGTACAGTTATGCAACATCCAACTAGAGCAATCTAACTGCAACACCAAAGATGACATCATCACGATTTCGCCAAGAGGGTATAAATTTCTACACAAAGGCAAAAGGCTATGTTAATGCATTAAGTGGAGTCGAAAGTGGCGTATATTAACGTCTAAAATGTAATGAAATTAGCATAGAAGATACTTTTTATAACAATGTATACATTTTGAATGAATCATAGATTCACGAGACTAAGATTGAGTTGATTACATGTCCATTCAGAGTAAAAAATAGTACCAATCTTTTATCCATATGCTTCGATTTGTTTCAAATGACGCAACTCATACACGACACAACCCGCGTCTCAAATTCCACCCAAACCACGATCGATCTTATTTTTAGCTCGAAGCCTGAGGTAATACATGAAAGTGGTGTCTTACCTGTACTCATTAGTGACCTCTATTTGGTGTACGGTATACAAAAATTGGAAAATCCCTAAAAACGAAAGTCGCTTTGTTGATTTTAGATGTTTTAACAACTTAGATAATAAAAATTTCCAACGCGATCTCCTGAATGTTCCATGGGAAAATGTTCTAACCTGTCACAGGGTTGAGAAGGCATGGGGTCTATGGCACTCCCTATTTATGGGTGTCATTAACCATCACGCTCCGATAAAATCCAAACGTGTTCGAAGCACCTCCTTACCTTGGCTTGATGTTGAAATTACCCGACTTATGCGTCAACGCGATCGCACTCATGAAATTGCAAAACAATCTAATTCTGAAGATGATTGGGACGCATACAAAAAAACTATGGAATACCGTAACCAACAGCATCCGTAAAAAGAAAAAGGAGTATTTCACATCAGCGATTGAAACTAACAAAGGAGACTCTTCCATGCTGTGGAAGAAGTTAAAAGAGGCTCTTCCGAATAAACCGAAATCGGTTCCAAGCTCAATCACTTCCAAAAATGGAAAAAAATGTAAAAAATCAAGCCGAAATTGCTGATATATTTAATGAGCATTTCTCCACTATTGGAGGACGTATGGCAAGTAGTGACGACGTCACGCGCGAAATTGAAATGGACAATGCCCATTTCTCTTATCCTGAACCAATTCAGCAATGTAATCTGCCTAATATCACGGAAGATTTTGTTCGAAAACAAATCACATCAATGTCGCCTTGCAAAGCAACTGGTCCGGATGGCGTTAGTGTAAAAATGCTAAAGCGTATTAAATCATTAACGCACGTATTGAACCTCTAATTTAAATGTGAACAGTATCCTTCAGATTGGAAACATGCATTAGTCACACCGATTCACAATAGAGGAGACAAATGCAATACTAGCAATTATAGGCCCATTTCAATAATTTCAATTATTTCAAAGATTTTAGAAAGATGGGTGCACTCGGCTGTTTATTCATTGCTTTATGGAAATAATCTTATTCCTCGCTGCCAATCGGGGTTTAGACTGATTGCATTCAACTGAAACAACATTGCATGACTTAACGAATGAATGTCTTCATGCTATGGAGCGTGGTGAAATGACTGGTACTGTTTTTATTAATCTCAGTAAAGCATTTGACTCTATAAACCATAAAATTCTCCTAGATAAACTTAGGCATATGCATATGTCTGCTTCTGTCATTACGTGGTTTACATCTTACCTAAGCGATCGAAGTCAATCTGTTAATATTGGTGGGAAATTATCAAAACCTTTGCCATTAAACACTGGCGTACGTCCACAAGGATCGATTTTGGGACCACTGTAATTTATTATTTATTCCAGTGATCTGTCACCTTGTATCCCTCTAAATTGTAAATTATTTATGTATGCTGATGACTCAACGTTAACCTGTTGCTCCTCCAGTGTTAAGGATATTGAAAATAATTTAAATGTCGCACTGGACATAGTTAACGATTGGGCCATTAGAAACAAACTTACAATTAACTCAAACAAGACTAAATCCATGCTCGTTGAATCCAAAAAGAAAATTTCCAATGTAGACTTCAATGTAACCATTGCCCGTACTATAATTGTTAGAACGAAATCAAGTGTCTTGGTGTCATCATTGACGAAACTTTGAGTTGGACACCACATGTTGAATTCGTCAAGAAAACTGTTTCATCCAAACTGGGTATGTTAAGTAGAATAGGTAATTGTGTCCCCCAAAGAAGCATTATAAACACTCTGTTTGTAAGCTTAGTTAGGCCATCTTTAGACTATTGCTGCACTGTATGAGGAGGTCGTTACATATCCAACAATGCCTTACTTTATAACAAATGTATACAAAGAGCTGCTAGGATAGTTTTAAAATGCAATTTTCTTACCCCATCTGCAGATATGTTTGCACAACTCAGTTGGCTTTCGTTTTCCGAAAGGGTTACGTATACAAAAGCTATACTTGTTTATAAATGCATTAACCGATTAACATCTTTATACATGACAAACCTTTTCACACTGTATTTGCAAGCTCGTGACACGAGACAGTCAACAATTATGAAGTTGAAGGTTCCTTTTTCGAAAAGCGAAAGTTATTCCACGAGTTTTAAGGTAACCGGGGCTAATATATGGAATGACTTAGATATTGATTTGAGAACTGCGACTTCTCTAAACGTATTCAAATACAAATTGTACGAGGCACTAATTAAGAAAATATAATCGGTTACGACCATGTGCTTTAAATGCAGGGCCCCAATGGAAATCAGTGTTTTAACTGTTTGGGCTACCCTGGGTAAACAAATGTAAATAAATAAATAAATAAATATGAAGAGTTTTGAAAGACCATATTCAGCGCTAACTAAGGCGATCGCTGTTTATTTAGACGTACACATTCTGCTTAAATATTAATGTTACCAAGTCATTTTGTTGCAATTTCTATATAAAATACTTAAACTATTGGACAAACTTAAATTGCAAATTAAACTTGGCAAAACTTTTATTTGTCGGACTGTGTAAGTCTGAGTTGTTACTAATCTAATATAGGTCTTGAACGTTTTTATCTGAATGGTCCTCATATACATACAAAGAAGTGAGCACTCAGAATCATATTTGACAACTCGTACAATAACTACAATAGTGCTCTAATATTGTGTAACATAGAAATGCTGGAGTGTAGAAAAACAAATTTACTCACCAATTATGCAAATCACCAAATTTTAGTTCCTTTATACCTCCTCAAATAGACTACTGATATAGTTTGAGAAAGAAAAATCAATTCAAACTACGTACTTTAAAAAATTAATAGATACAACAATAGTAAAGCCCAATTCCATATTTCATTATTATCTTCAACCAGCAACTTGTACTTAGACTTGCATTATATATTTGAACCTCAATATTAACTTATTAAGCTCAGATTAATCAGTTCAATATAAATCATAGTTTAATTTGATATCAATGTATTTTTACTGTTGTATATTTTACCAGGAAAATTTGAATTTGTATTTGTATTGTTGTTTCGTAGACTTTTTGCAATGCAAATAGACCCAGGTCTATTTTTTTGATAATGTACCATTCGTATTAGCTGCAAGGCTACAATGATGATATTTTGAAATGTAAGTTGAACTTGATATATGATATATATATAACAGAAAGTATTTTATTAATACACTTTGGTAATAATAATAAATTAATAATTATTAATAATTAACCAAATCCAAATCAATTTTCTCTAAAGTGCTTCATAATCTTCACAGATAATCTTTATTGCAGAGAATAGCGTCTTCGGTTATGTTAGACAATTCCACAGGCATGGAACTTAGCACAAAAATGATCTATCAACAAATAGATGTCATTGTGTTCCACCTAGAAAAACCTTCAGAAGATAAAACGCTTTTCTCCTTATTTATGGTCAGAAGGAGGCTTCATATTCTTTACAAACGCATTTTTTCAGATGTTGTTCAGCTTTCTTTTCTGCAGTATAAGTATGTATACTACCAATACGACCGCAATTAATTGGACGCCACAGCCTATTTGAAAACCGAGACGGTAACTGTTGACAGAGAAACCTAAACAAATATAGAAATAAATTGCATTGGTTAGAATCATCTTTGTTTACCAGAAAAAAATTAATTTTTAAAAATTCAAAAAATGTATTTTTTTTTAACAGTAATCAATTTTTATTGGGAGTTAAACAAACGCCAAACCAATAATATACACTGCAAATCTAGTGTCATTTATGACTAAAGATATTTTTTAGTATTTATTCGGTTTAGTTACATAAATTCTAGGCTGAGTTTGTAGGTTTTTTTTATCATAAATACTGGTACATCTTCTTACCTACAATTGCTGATGATATCGATCCTACTCCTTCTGCCAACAATATCCAGGAAATTGCGTCATCTATTTCATTTGTTTTTCTAACAAACTTAGTCGCCAAAGTAACATATCCGTGCCATAGCATTCCAAACGCGAATCCGTGAAAAGCTGAGCTGATATAAAATATCAAAAAACTATGTCCAATTGCAAATATAGAAAACGATGTTAATTCGAATAACTGTGCAACTGCAAATATTTTTATTAACAGAGTAACGTCAATATCACCAAATAAAAATAGACAAAGTCTAATCAAAACGCATGAAATGACTGATGCCAACAAAATCTCACTGGCGTCAATAGGAGAGATGCCTGAGTCTACAGCATATGGAACGAAAAACAACCAAAATGACGTCAGAGTAAGGCCTCCGATTATTACAGACAGACACAATGCTAGCAACTGACGGTTATTGCTGAAGACTTCCAGATGAAGACGTTTCAATGTTTTCTTAAAGAATCCATGAATGTTTTTATAATGATTTTCTAGGTCAGTTTGATAATCATCTTCAGTATCCTCGGGATCCAACTCAACTTTGCCAACTCTGTGATTCAGCAGGAAGGATGCAACCGTCACATGCAAGTGAGCTGCAGCTACGATAGCAATTGCACCTCTCCAACCGTAATTATCCACCAATTTCTGGGAAATACAATAAAGATTACATTTTTTTATATAATAACAATTGAAATAATGAACAAACTATTAGAGGTAATGGTATGAAAACCCACCCAAAACATATCATTAATAAAATGGATCAAATACATTTTTAATGCATTGATTAATCATGATAAACTAATAAAAAGCTATCGTTGACTTAATGACAATCTGTTATGATAATTCAATACTTCAAGTATCAGCCAATTTAACATCGTGATATAACTGTTTAGTTGCTGGTGAGGACATTATTCCTATTTAAATTTTGCTTAAAAAAAAAAAAAAAAAAAAAACGTATATAATTGCTATCATTTTACCAATATGAAAAAGTCATTTAACGATATATGGTTATGATAATTTTCTCAGTTAATAGCGTAACGGTTTTATACCGAGTTCGTTCCTAAAATTTATAGGGAAATGTAACACGAAACAACACATACAAACAGCAGGCTATGGACGATCATATGACATCAACTTTAGTCATGTAAACTTTATTAAGATCCAAACAACATTATACCTACAATTCTTTAGTTAACCCAGGACCGTCTATTCCACGTGGCGTTATCCTCATCGGACCTCTAGTTTCCAGTCATAATCCACAACTCTCATCCAAAATACAGTAATTGGCTTTTCCCTAGTCTTATATCGGGAACCATTTTCGTTACAATAGTATAAGAAACAAATATGAGGAAATGAAATATGTGTAAGTTGCCACCTAAGCATATTGCATTGTCTAGATACCTTGAATGTGTATGCAATCAATCGTATAGCTGTAGAAAATTTGAATATATAAAAATCTGAATTTCAATATATAGAATTAGACGAGTTATGCAATATTCTCACCTGAATCAATGGAGCTAACCCAGCTGCTACAACGGATGTAACAAGCAGAACAGCATTCACTTGAGAAAGGCGAGTCGTAAATGTTTTTGCAGTTACCACAAAAGTTGCCGTGTATATCGTACCTACACACAAACCTGCAAACAATATATATATAT